CCACTGGTTGAAGTCTCAGCAGTCATGGAAGGCAATGGCAAACCTCCTCTCAACAAATATGGCCACGAAAACCTTATGACAGGGTCAACATAACCTGGATCATTTTGAAGACACACTGCAACAACAACACTACAATGGTCACAACTTGTCTCCACCTTGATGAAGCTCTATCTCTAAAGAGCTAGTTCAAAAGTTTGCTTTGTTACAGAACTGATGTTTCCCTAACATTGTAATGTAATTTCTGGAGAGCAATGGTTCCCCTTTGTCAGGCCATTAAACCTAGAAAAAACATGTAGATAGCAGCCAGATATCAGATTCTGTAAAGCTTTGACTGCCTTGTCAATGTGTCACATGACAAAACTCCTCATAATCATTCAGGAATGCAGGCAGTTGACATCCAGAAGCCACTGAGAAGGTTTTGGAGTCCTATAGAATGACAAATCACACACCACAAATTCACTAGGGAGTTTATCACACGGGGGAAATCCCGTGCCGAAACGGGGCTTTAAATTAAACTAAACCTGCACAAGCAGGTGTTTTTTCAGACGTCACTGTTAAAAGGAGGTTAATCCGAACGGAAATTAGATAAAAACTGCTTCTTTTTACTTTCGGAAGATCCCAAAAGTAAAAAGAAGCAGTGTTTGTCTAATTTCCGCTCGGATTAACCTCCTTTTAACAGCGCTTTTACTTTTCACACTGGGCAGAACGGGAGAAATCCCGTTCATTAAAAAGCTTCCGCTTTTGCGTTTTTTTTTTTTTACTTTAAAGAGTGATTTTGCATGGGGCTCCCCATGTGATCAACTCCTAGGAGTCTTGTCTGAGTAATTCTGCCATTTGCATGCTTATCCAGGAGCATGCTCTGAAGTGAAATAATTCATTGTGATGGTTCCTACAGCCAGGCTCCCAAGGAGAGTACAGAAATGCAGGCAGCTGTGCTGGTCCATACTAACAACAACAACAACAACAACAACAAAGAACCTAGAAAGTAAATAAATCACAATACAGTCTACATACCCACAGTGCACGCACACACAAAAAGGGACACACAATACAGTGTACACACATATAGAAACCTGGAATTTTTGAAATACTCCAACAATTACTGCTCATACAGTTATTTGAGCCACTGGGTCCTTTTCAGCAGTACACTATGCATTACTGAATAATGGTTTGGCATGCACAGGAAGATGGCACAGTATACATACATGCTATTGATTCATCATAGAGCCTGGATACATTTGTTCACATGGACTTCTTTTAAATCGAAAGGGTGATTTCACCATTTTCACTGCAAGTCCAAGTTTTAAACTGCAAAATATTAAAATCAGCTTTCCATTACAAAGGTCTCAACATGTAGCTTGTCTTTATGAAGACTTCCCCCCCCCACATCTTATCAAAAGCCCTGTATCAGTGAATTTATGAAGCTTATCACATTCATTTTAAAACTAATTTACCTAATCTGGATTAAATTTTAAGGTGGCATCCTGATATTATCAGAAGGATTTAGCCACCAAAATTGCCACCCAGGTCCATCCCGGGTTCATCCTCGCTCCCAGGGGCACTCAGCATGCCTCTTTTCTAAGCTGATAGTTTTCTGGCTTAAGAAAATGGCTGCCAGAGTGGCCCTGGGAATGGGGATGGACCTGGGATGGACCTGGGCAGTGATTTCAGCAGCTAAATCCTTCTGATAATATCAGGGTGCCACCTGCTTTAAAATTTAACCTGGATCAGGTAAGCTGGTTTTAAAATGGAATGCAATAAGATCCTATACTAAGAAATATGGAATAAGAATATATTTAAAGCTTGTGAACTTGTTGCATTGAGCCCACCTATGCTTTGCATTTCTGGAATCTCTTACACGTCACTGATCTGTTCTTTGCCTGGTTGATGGGGAAATTCTCAGATTGGTAAGAATTACATTTGGCCCTGTCCTGTTCTTTTGGTCCCAAATGCTGATGGAACATGGTTCATGAACTCCTCCACAAATTGTTATTCAGCCCTGGCCTGAAATACATTCCCTACATCTATAGCCATGAGCCACCGTAGCATAGTAGTTTGAGTGTTGGTTGAGACTCTGGGACAGGGGTCCCCAAACTATGGCCCACGGGCCGAACCTGGCCCATCGAGGCCTTTCAACCGGCCCGTGGCCAGTCCTGCCACCACCGCCACCACCACTGCGTGCAATGCAGGGCGCCGTTTTGCATTCCAAAATGGCACCCGAGTAGTGCGCATGTGCACGTGTGCACCTCCGGCTGCAATTTTTTGTTCTTCGGCCCTCCGAAGATCTGGGGGACAGCAAACTGGGCCCCGGCTGAAAAAGTGTGGGGACCCCTGCTCTGGGAGATCAACATTCCTTGCTCAGTAACAGAAACTCCTTAGGTGACCTTGGCAAGTCACATTCTTTCAGCCTTAGAGCAAAGCAATGACAAATCTCCTGTAGACAAATGTTGCCACCACCATCACAGAGTCCACATAAGTTGGAGTCAACTTCAAGTCATGTAACAACAACAAGAGTGACCTCTATAGCTCTCTTATAAAGTGCTGTATCTTACTTAGGAAAACAATATAATAAAGAGGAAATGTCCCTCCACATTTACGGCTTTGACTTTTGCGAATTTGATTATTCATAGGTTTTATTAATATCTTCTCTCTAGGAATATCTAAGTCCTCCAACACAACTCTATGGTCAACTTTAACCAAAAGTCGCACTGAAGGACCTACAGATTCCTAGAGAGACCACTCCACTGGGCATTTGTAGCTCCCCCAGTGCAATTCTGTGGTCAATGTCTGGCAGATGTTGACCACAGAGTTGCACTGAAGGACCTAGAGATTCCTAGAGAGAATACTCCACTAGGCATTTGTAGCTCCTCCAGTGCAATTCTGTGGTCAGTGTCTGGCAGATGTTGACCACAGAGTTGTACTGGAGGACCTAGATTTTCCTATATGTACTTGCCTGGGCTCTAATCCTGCCTCATCATAGGCCAAATGAAAAAATCTCACCTTGGGCCTTTACAGACTGCCAGAAATAATGCAGCTGGAGACCACTTTATCTGCCTTGGCTCAGTGCTCGGAAATCATGGGAACTGTAGTTTATTGGGGCACCAGAACTTTCTGACAGAGA